GGTGCAATGGGAGCAGTGGGGACCGGTTACATTGGGTGCAATGGGTGCAGTGGGGACCGGTTACTGGGGACCGGTTACATTGGATGCAATGGGAGCAGTGGGGACCGGTTACATTGGGTGCAATGGGAGCAATGGGGACCGGTTACATGGGGTGCAATGGGTACCGGTTACATGGGGTGATGGGGACTGGCTACATGGGGTAATGGGTACCGGTTACATGGGGTAATGGGTGCAGTGGGGACCGGTTACATGGGGTGCAATGGGTACCGGTTGCATTGGGGTGATGGGGACCGGTTACATGGGGTAATGGGTGCAGTGGGGACCGGTTACATGGGGTGCAATGGGTACCGGTTACATGGGGTGATGGGGGCCGGTTACATGGGGTAATGGGTACCAGTTGCATTGGGTACTGGCTGCAATGGGTGCAGTGGGGACCGGTTACATGGCGTAATGGGGACTGGTTACATGGGGTAATGGGGACCGGTTCCATGGGGTAATGGGTGCATTGGGTGCAGTGGGTGCAATGGGTGCTGGGTGCAATGGGTTCTGGATACCGGTTACATTGAGTGCTGGGTACCAGTTGCATTGGGTGCGGGGTGCAGTAGGTGCTATGTACCGGTTACATTGGGTGCAATGGGTGCTGGATGCAATGGGTGCTGCGGACCGTTTGCATTGTGTGCTGGGTGCAATGGGTGCTGGTTGCAATGGGTGCTGGGGACCAGTTGCATTGGGTGCTGGGTGCAATGGGTGCTGGGTGCCGGTTACATTGGGTCCTCGGTACCAGTTGCATTGGGTGCTGGATGCTGGGTACTGGTTGCAATGGGTGCTCAATACCGGTTGTATTGGGTGCTGGGTGCTGGTTGCAATGGGTGCTGGGTACTGGTTGCAATGGGTGCTGGGGACCTGGGTGCTAGGTACCAGTTGCAATGGGTGCTGGGGACCGGTTGTATTGGGTGCTGGGTGCTGGTTACATTGGGTCCTGAGTACCAGTTGCATTGGGTGCTGGATGCATTGGGTGCTGGGTACCGGTTACATTGGGTGCTGGTTGCAATGGGTGCTGGGTACCAGTTACTTTGGGTGCTGGTTGCAATGGGTGCTGGGGACCGGTTGCATTGGGTGCTGGGTGCCGGTTACATTGGGTCCTGGGTACCAGTTGCATTGGGTGCTGGATGCTGGGTACTGGTTGCAATGGGTGCTGAATTCCGGTTGTATTGGGTGCTGGGTGCTGGTTGCAATGGGTGCTGGGGACCTGGGTGCTAGGTACCAGTTGAAATGGGTACTGGGGACCGGTTGTATTGGGTGCTGGGTGCTGTTTGCATTGGGTGCTGGGTAGGGGGATGCTGGATACTGGTTGGATTCGGTGCTGGATACCGGTTGCAATGGGTGCTGGATACCGGTTGCATTGGGTGATGGATACCGGTTGCATTGGGTGCTGGGTACTGGTTGCAATGGGTGCTGGGTAGGGGGATGCTGGATACTGGTTGCAATGGGTGCTGGATACCGGTTGCACTGGGTGATGGATACCGGTTGCATTGGGTGCTGGATACCGGTTGCATTGGGTGCTGTGTACCGGTTGCACTGGGTGATGGATACCAGTTGCATTGGGTGCTGGATACCGGTTGCACTGGGTGCTGGATACCGGTTGCATTGGGGGCCGGGTACCGGTTTCATTGGGTGCTGGATACCGGTTTCATTGGGTGCTGGATACCGGTTGCATTGGGTGCTGGGTACCGGTTGCATTGGGTGCTGGATACCGGTTGCATTGGGTGCTGGATACCGGTTGCATTGGGTGCTGGGTACCGGTTGCATTGGGTGCTGGATACCGGTTGCATTGGGTGCTGGGTACCGGTTGCATTGGGTGCTGGGTACCGGTTGTATTGGGTGCTGGGTACCGGTTGCATTGGGTGCTGGGTACCGGTTGCATTGGGTGCTGGGTACCGGTTGTATTGGGTGCTGGGTACCGGTTGCATTGGGTGCTGGATACCGGTTGCACTGGGTGCTGGGTACCGGTTGCACTGGGTGCTGGATACCGGTTACACTGGGTGCTGGTCTATTACTGTGAATGGGAGGTCCCATTGCTATGAATGGGGGTCCCATTGCTATGAATGGGGGGGTCCCGTTGCTATGAATGGGGGGTCCCATTGCTATGAATGTGGGGGTCCCATTGCTATGAATGGGGTGTCCCAGTGCTATGAATGGGGGCTTCCATTGCTATGAATGGGGGGGTCCCATCGCTATGAATGGGGGGCTCCCATTGCTATGAATGGGGTGTCCCATTGCTATGAATGGGGGGTCCCATTGCTATGAATGGGTGCCCCCATTGCTATGAATGGGGGGTCCCACTGCTATGAATGGGGGCTCCCATTGCTATGAAGGGGGGGTCCCATCGCTATGAATGGGGGGCTCCCATTGCTATGAATGGGGGGTCCCATTGCTATGAAGTGGGGGTCCCATTGCTATGAGTGGTGGGGTCCCATTGCTATAAAGGGGGGGTCCCATTGCTATGAATGGGGGGTCCCATTGCTATGAATGGGTGCTCCCATTGCTATGAATGGGGGGGTCCCATTGCTATGAATGGGGGGTCCCATTGCTATGAATGGGGGGTCCCATTGCTATGAATGGGTGCCCCCATTGCTATGAATGGGTGCCCCCATTGCTATGAATGGGTGCCCCCATTGCTATGAATGGGTGCCCCCATTGCTATGAATGGGTGCCCCCATTGCTATGAATGGGGGGGTCCCATTGCTATGAATGGGTGCCCCCATTGCAATGGGTGCCCCCCAGCTCTGACCCTGTCCCCCCCCCTCCAGCCTCGTGTACGGGGGGTCCCGGGCACCGCATGCGGAACCGGAGCTGCTCCCCCGGCAGCCCTACGGAGCCCCCCACCCGCTGCAGGGCTACGGCCCCAACCATCACCCCACAGGTACCCCCCATAGCCCCCATTGCATCCCCCCATAGCCCCCATTGCATCCCCCCATAGCCCCCATTGCATCCCCCCATAGCCCCCATTGCATCCCCATAGCCCCCATTGCATCCCCATGGTCCCCATTGCATCCCCATGGTCCCCATTGCATCCCCATGGCCCCCATCGCATCCCCATGGCCCCCATCGCATCCCCATGACCCCATCGCATCCCCATGGCCCCCATCGCATCCCCATGGCCCCCATTGCATCCCCCCATGGTCCCCATTGCATCCCCCCATGGTCCCCATTGTCCCCATGGTCCCCATGGTCCCCATAGCCCCCATTGCATCCCCCCATGCCCCCATTCATCCCCATGACCCCCATCGCATCCCCATGGCCCATCGCATCCCCATGGCCCCCATCGCATCCCCATGGTCCCCATTGCATCCCCATAGCCCCCATTGCATCCCCATGGCCCCCATTGCATCCCCATGGTCCCCATTGCATCCCCATGGCCCCCATTGCATCCCCCATAGCCCCCATTGCATCCCCCCATGGCCCCCATTGCATCCCCATGGCCCCCATCGCATCCCCATGGCCCCCATCCCTGCATCCCCATGGTCCCCATTGCATCCCCATAGCCCCCATTGCATCCCCATGGCCCCCATTGCATCCCCATAGCCCCATCGCACCCCATGCCCCCATTGCACCCCCCATGGCCCCCATCCCTCCCCTGCATCCCCCCATGGCCCCCATCCCATCCCCATGTCCCCATTGCATCCCCATGGTCCCCATTGCATCCCCCCATGGCCCCCATCGCATCCCCATGGCCCCCCATCGCATCCCCATGGCCCCCATCGCATCCCCATAGCCCCATCCCTGCATCCCCATAGCCCCCATCCCTGCATCCCCATGGTCCCCATTGCATCCCCCCATGGTCCCCATCGCATCCCCATGGTCCCCATTGCATCTCCATGGCCCCCATCGCATCCCCATGGCCCCCATCCCTGCATCCCCATGGCCCCCATCACATCCCCATGTCCTTATGCCCCATATCCCTATGGTTCATCAATACCCAATGGCCCCATGGCCCCATCATTCCATACCCCAGTATTTCCATTGCTCCCTATCCCAGTCTCCTATTCCCATATGTGTTCTCCATCCCATATCCCTTTATCCCCATTGTCCTTTATCCTCTCTTGCTTTCCATGCCCAGGGGCTGCCCCACGCTGTGTTCCCATACCCCATATCCCTATACCCCATATCCCTATACCCCATGTTCCATGTCCCCCTATCCCATGTCCTATGAGCCCATATCCCCCTGTGTTCCATCCCCTTCCCCTCTTCCCATAGTGCATCCCTCTGTGTCCTGTTCCATACCCTATGGCTCTGTAACCCCTAAGCTGTCCCCTGTCTGTGTACCGTACCCATAGCTCATGTTCCCATGTTCCCTATCCCAGTATTCCCGATCACCGTACCCCATCCGCTATGTTCATATGTTTAGTACATCATACACCATATCCCATACCCCACACCCCATATCCCATACCCTATATCCCATACCCCCTATCCCATACCCCATATCCCATACCCCATACCCCATACATCCCATACCCCATACCCCATATCCCATATCCCATACCCCACACCCCGTATTGCGTATTGCATACCTCATATACTCTATACCCTATATATCCTATATCTGGTAGTCCATACCTCATATACCCCATACCCCATATATCCCATATCTGGTATTCCATACCCCATATACCCCATATCCCATACTCCATAGCCCATATACCATATATCCCATATCCCATACCCCATATCCATATCCCATACCCTATATCCCATATTTTATACCCCATATATCCCATACCCCATATATCCCATATTCGGTATTCCATACCCCATATACCCCATATCCCATACTCCATACCCCATATACCATATATCCCATACCCCATATCCCACACACCCCATACCCCATATACCGCCTACTCCATACCCCATACATCCCATACCCCATACCCCATATCCCATACCCCATACCCCACACCCCACACCCCACACCCCATACATCCCATACTACCCCCTACCCTACCCCTCTCTCTCCCCCCCAGGTCTCCCCGGTCTCTTTGAGCCGGGGCTGCACCACGCGGGGGCCGCGGCTCCGGACGCCTCCGTCATGAACCTGATCTCGGCGCTGGAGCCGCGGCCCCAACCGGGCCCGGCCGCCTCCTCGCTGCTCTCCCAGTTCCGGAGCCCCTCCTGGCAGACCGGTAATGTATACCCCTATACCCCCATATACACCCATATACCCCTATAGCCCCCATATACCCCCATATACCCCCATATACCCCCATATACCCCTATAGCCCCCATATACACCCATATACCCCCATATACCCCTATACCCCCATATACCCCCCATATACCCCCATATACCCCCATATACCCCAATAGCCCCCATATACCCCCCATATACCCCCATATACCCCAATAGCCCCCATATAACTCCATATACCCCCATATACCCCAATACCCCCATATACCCCATATACCCCCATATACCCCTATACCCCCATATACACCCATATACCCCCATATACCCCAATACCCCCATATACCCCCATATACCCCCATATACCCCCATATACCCCATATACCCCCATATACCCCCATATACCCCCATATACCCCCATATACCCCTATATACCCCCATATACCCCTATATACCCCATATACCCCCTATATACCTCAATCCCCCCCATATACCCCAATCTCCCTCATATACCCCCGTATACCTCCATATACTCCCATATACCTCTATATACCCCCATATGCCCCAATACCCACACATACCCCCTATATACCCCAATACCCCTATATACCCAATACCCCCCATTTACCCCCATATACCCCAATCCCCCCCATATACCCCCATATACCCCAATACCCCCCATATACCCCAATTTCCCCCTATACTCCCATATACCCCCATATACCCCCATATACCCCCATATACCCCAATACCTCCATATCCCCATATACCCCATATACCCCCATATACCCCCATATACTCCAATACCCCCATATACCCCAATACCTCCCATATACCCCCATATACCCCCCATATACACCCCAATACCCCCCATATACCCCCATATACCCCCCATATACCCCCATATACCCCATTACCCCCATGTACCCCAATACCCCCATATACCCCCATACCTCCATATACCCCCCATATACCCCATATACCCCCATATACCCCCATATACCCCAATACCCTCATATACCCCCATATACCCCAATACCCCCCATATACCCCAATACCCCCCATATACCCCAATACACCCATATACCCCCATACACCCCCATATACCCCCACATACCCCCATCTACCCCAATACCCCCCCCGCCTCTAACCCCCTCCCCCCTCCGCAGCCATGCACACCCCGGCCCCAGCCGAACTCTTCATCTCGGGCGCCCTCCCCGGTTCCGGCACCTTCCCGGCCTCTTCCGCCCTCGGCGCTTACCAGCACCCGGCCCCATTCCCGGCACGGAGCTTCCCGGTGAGCTCAGCCCTCACCTTACCGGAGCCCCCCTTCAGCCCCGGCTCCAACGGCCTCCTTTCCCCCCATGATCCTTTGCTCCACATCAAACCCACCCAAGCACCGGTGCCGCCACCACCACCACCACCACCACCGCCACCACCACCGCCACCGCCACCACCAGCGCTGGGCTTCGAACGCTTGGGCACGGCGGTGCTGGGATCGGCGTTACCGGCGCAGAGCCCCGCTTACCGCGGCGCTACCGGCGCCTCGCAGTTCAACCTCCTCTCGGCGCCGTTACCGGAGCAACCGGCGCAGCTTTACAACGCCTCGGTGTTCGGCGGTGCCGCCGGCGAGCGCGCCGTGCCGCGCCAGGACAGCGTCATCAAGCATTACCAACGCCCCGGCGCCGCCCAACCGCACGGCCTCCAGCATTACCTGAGCTGCGGTGGGAGCTACCAACAGATGCCCCCGCACCGCGCCGCCGCTTTAGCCTGCAGCCCTTTAGGCGAGCAGAGCCCCGGTAGCGCCGAAGCGTCCCAACAGGCTCCTAAAGGCGGTGGTGGCGGTGGTGGCGGTGGTGGCGGTGCCGTGCCGCGACCGGAGCCGGCGCAAAGCTACCGGCCCATTATCCAATCGCCGGCTTATTCCGGTGGCAACGGCACCGGGGGCAACGGCAACGGCGCCAAGTCCAAGAGCTACTCGGCGTCGCGGCAAACGCCGCGCTCCACCGCTACCCCCAAGTGCCAAAGCAGCTTCAGCACCAGCACCCCCAAAGCCAGCTCTGTTATCTCCAGTCATTCCCCAGCCTATTCCCCTTTGGCTTTGGGGCCGGGGGGGGGTTATGGGGCCAACACCGCTCCACCAGCACCACCACAACCGCAACCGCAACCGAGCTCCGGTTTCACCAGTGCCCAAAGCGGTGGTGGTGACTTAGGGGGCAAAGGCACCGGATACCCCCCCCCTCCCAACGCCGGGGGGCAAAGTGGGGCCCCTGCATGCGTTGGGCAAGGCCAAGGCTTCTCCCCCGAGCAGCTCCAAGCGCTGCCCTATGGGGTGCAGGCGGAAGTGGGTTCCTTATCCTATAGCACCGGGCATTCCCCGGCTGTGCCGGCGCCGCTGCCCTATAGCCCGGCTCCCAGCATCCGGCCCTTGCAGTCGCCACCGGCGGCACGGAGCTCACCGGGGCAATCCCAGAAGTACCTGGGCTCCGTGCTCTCCCCGTCCTTTATGGCACCGGGATACGGAGGAGGAGGAGGAGGAGGAGGAACGACGCCGGCACCGGGAACGCCGGCACCGGCACCGGCGTTGGAGCGGGCTCCGGCTTTTGGCAAAGGGAGCAAAGGGGACGCGGAGCTGCTGGGGGCCGAGAGGAGCGAGGATGAGGATTTCCTCATCCAGCATCTCCTGCATCCCAGTCCCCCCCCATCACGGGGGGAACCCATGGCTGGGGGGTGCGAGGAGCGCGGCGCCGGCACCAAACCCATGGCAACGGCACCACCGGCACCACCACCACCAGGAGGAGGAGGAGGGGGTTATGGAGGCTTGGGCAAGGCGGAGGAGCGGTACCAGTTACAAAGCGTGATCCGGCCCAATTCCAACCTGGAAGCGCCCCTGGAGTTGGCGTTGTTGAAGGAGAAGAAGAAACCGGAGCGAGGGAAGGATTACCGGAGCGCCGGTAGCGCCAACGAGGGCATGGCGGCCACCTCTGTGGTTCACTATGGGCACCAAGCACCGGGGATGGAGCCCTATGGGCAGGAGCTGAAGAAAAGCGGTGCCAAGGAGATGGGGCAGCCCCATGGTTACTTAGGGAAGACCCCCGAGCATGGGCGCTTGGTGGCTGAACCCCCCCCGTTGGAACCGCATGGGCTGCTCCTGGACCCGGCTCCTGAGCTCGGACCGGTCCAAGTGGGACCGGTAACGGGGGGGGCAGCGGCTCTGTTGCCGTCGGTGCTTACCCATACCCAGAGCCAGCTCCATGCCCGTGCCAAAGGCAGGCCCCAGCTTGACGTCCACCTCTTGGAGCAGCAACGGATGCCACCGGCACCACCACCACCACCGCCACCACCACCACCACCACCGCCGGCGGCTGCCCCATCCCCACAGCTCCTATTGGACGCCCATCACCTTCACCAGGCCCACGTGCGCGGTCAAGGCATGGAACCGCCGGCACCGTTACCACCGGAGCCTATGGAAGTCCTCCCGGCTCCCCAAGAGATCCAAGACTTCTTAGAGCCACCATTGGGTTTAGAACCCCATTTAGGCCAAACCGGCGCGGTGCAAGGGCCGCCGGGGCATCTTCTGGACCCGGACGGAGGAGCCCCACCGGTGGCACCGGCACCGTTGGAAGCCAAGGACCAGTTTGCCGAAGGGGGAAGCCCGGCGGGGGGGAAGAACCGGTTTGTGCCATTGACTTCCATTTGCTTCCCGGATGCTCTGCTCCAGGATGAGGACCGCGGGTTCTTCCCCGGTATGGAGGATATGTTCGGCCCGGCACCGGAAGACTTCCCGAAGGCGACGGAAGAGGAAGAGGAAGAGGAAGGAAGCGGTGAAACCATCAAACCACCCTACGACATCCCCCAACCATACCCTTCATTCTGCCCACCGCAACCACCACCGTTGGCATTGGACCACACCAAACACGAGTTACCATCGACCGTCAACGCCGAGCCGTTGGGGTTGATCCAAGGCACCGAAAGCACCAAAGCGCCGTTGGCGACGCCGCTTTTTTGCTCGTCCAAACCCAAAAAACTCCTCAAAACTTCTTCTTTTCACCTCCTCCGCAAACGGGACCCGTTCCCCGCCCCGAAGAAAAACTACGCGCAAGAATACGAGTTCCAGGACGACGAGGACAAAGCCGACGTCCCCGCCGACATCCGCCTCAACAGCCGGCGCTTACCGGATCTCTTACCGGATCTCATCTCCAGTTGCCGAGCGCGGCCACCTCCGTTGAGCCCTATTCATGGGGGGGACCCATTGGGGTTCACTGCTACCGGTGCTATGGGTGGTACCCATGCGACGGCACCCAAGAAAAGGGGGCGCAAACCCACTAAGCCCAAACGGGAGGGACCCCCGAGGCCAAGGGGGAGGCCGAGGATTAGGCCTTTACCGGAGCCGCCGCCGCCTTTGCCGCCGTCACCGTCACCCCATGGGGTCCTCCTGCCCCATCCGGATGCAGGCAAAAGGCCCCGAGGAAGAGGAAGGGGCCGGGGCAGGAAGGGAGGGGAAGAGGCAGGAGATGGGAATGGGATGGAGGCGTTGAAGCCGCTCAAGGTGAGGGGTTATGGGGGGGGGGTACCCCAACAGTGGGGAAAAGGTGACCCATGGGGACAAAGGGGGATGTTGGGGGTGTGGGTGGGGATATTGGGGTGAAGGTGGGTGGATGGGGGGGGGTTTGGGCTTGTTTTGGGGTTCTGGATGGGGATATTGGGGTGGAGGTGGGTGGATGTGGGGGGGTTTGGGCTTGTTTTGGGGTTCTGGATGGGGATATTGGGGTGAAGGTTGGTGGATATGGGGGGTTTGGGCTTGTTTTGGGGTTCTGGATGGGGATATTGGGGTGAAGGTTGGTGGATGTGGGGGGTTTTGGCTCGTTTTGGGGTTCCTCGTGGTCTGTTGCACCCCATTGACCTCCAAAGAGCCCCATTGATGGAGGTGGGGATGGGTTGGAGAGCATCAAGGTAAGGACTTGATGGGTTTTGGGGTTCTGGATGGGGATATTGGGGTGAACGTTGATGGATATGGGGGGATTTGGGCTCATTTTGGGGTTCCTCGTGCTCTATTGCACCCCATTGACCTCCAAGAGCCCCATTGATGGTGATGGTGATGGGTTGGAGCCCATCAAGGTGAGGATATTGGGGTTCTGCATGGGAATATCGGGGTGAACATTGATGGATATGGGGGGATTTGGGCTTGTTTTGGGGTTCCTCGTGGTCTATTGCACCCCATTGACCTCCAAAGAGCCCCATTGATGGAGGTGGGGATGGGTTGGAGAGCATCAAGGTGAGGATATTGGGGTTCTGCATGGGGATATTGGGGTGAACATTGATGGATATGGGGGGATTTGGGCTTGTTTTGGGGTTCTTCGTTGTCTGTGGTACCCCAATGGTGTCCAAAAGGCCCCATTGATGGAGGTGGGGATGGGTTGGAGAGCATCAAGGTAAGGATATTGGGGTTCTGGATGGGGATATTGGGGTGAACGTTGATGGATATGGGGGGATTTGGGGGGTTCCTGTGCTCTATTGCACCCCATTGACCTCCAAAGGCCCCATTGATGGAGATGTGATGGGTTGGAGAGCATCAAGGTGAGGATATTGGGGTTCTGCATGGGGATATCGGGGTGAACATTGATGGATATGGGGGGATTTGGGCTCGTTTTGGGGTTCCTTGTGCTCTATTGCACCCCATTGACCTCCAAGAGCCCCATTGATGGAGATGGGGATGGGTTGGAGAGCATCAAGGTGAGGATATTGGGGTTCTGCATGGGGATATTGGGGTGAACATTGATGGATATGGGGGTGGTTGGGGGGTTCGTGGGGGCTGTGGTACCCCAATGGTGTCCAAAAGGCCCCATTGATGGAGATGGGGATGGGTTGGAGAGCATCAAGGTGAGGATATTGGGGTTCTGGATGGGGATATTGGGGTGAACATTGATGGATATGGGGGGATTTGGGCTCATTTTGGGGTTCCTCGTGGTCTGTTGCACCCCATTGACCTCCAAGAGCCCCATTGATGGAGGTGGTGATGGGTTGGAGCCCATCAAGGTGAGGATATTGGGGTTCTGCATGGGGATATTGGGGTGAACATTGATGGATATGGGGGGATTGGGGCTCGTTTTGGGGTTCCTCATGATCTCTGGTACCCCAATGGTGTCCAAAGAGCCCCATTGATGGTGATGCTGATGCCTTGGAGCCCATCAACTCTTGATGCCTTTGGGGATGCTGGAGCCACCCATGGGTCCTATGGGGCTCATCCCTGTATCCCCCCCATTCCCTGTTCCCTCTCCCCCCTTTCCCAGCTCAAACTGGCCATGACCAAAGGCTCGGACGCGCCGTTGGCACCGGACGGCTCCCTCGCCATTCCCAGTATTCCCAGTACGGGCTCGGAGGTGGCGCCTATGGAACCATCGCAGAGCCGGGAGCGCATCAAGCAGAAGATCAAGGAGGTGGAGGAGAAACAACCGGAGATGAAATCCGGTTTCATGGCTTCCTTCTTGGACTTCCTCAAAGCCGGCAAACGCCAAACGGGGCCTCCCGGCGCCGCCAGCCCCACCAAGAGCCACCGCGGCGCCGGTCCCACCACCACCACCACCACCACCCCCTTCCCAATGGGAGGTCCTATCCTAACCCCCAGTTTGGAAGGGGCGGAAGGGGATGGTTTGGTGATGGCGTGTCCCAGTCCGTGTAAGAGGTTGGATGAGGAGCTCAAGAGGAACCTGGAGACGCTGCCGTCCTTCTCGTCGGATGAGGAGGATTCGGTGAGCAAGAACCAGGACCTCCAGAAGAGCATCTCCTCGGCCATCTCGGCCCTCTATGACCACGGCGACCGGAAGGATGCTGAGGTGGTCGCCGGAGGTGGGGATGGGGAGGTGACGGCGTCGCCGCGGCATCAAGGTGGGTGATGGGAGACATAGGGGGCAATGGGAGACATAGGGAAATGGGCCATAGGGCATGGCCATAGGACAAGGGCCTAGGACTGGGCCATAGGGAGCAATGGGAGCCATAGGGAGCAATGGGAGCCATAGGAGCCAATAGGAGCCATAGGGAGCAATGGGAGCCATACGCAATGGGAGCCGTAAGGAGCCATAGGGAACAATGGGAGCCATAGGGAGCAATGGGAGCCATAGGGAGCAATGGCAGCCATACGCATCAATGGGAGCCATAAGGAGCCATAGGGAGCAATGGGAGCCATAGGGAGCAATGGGAGCCATAGGGAGCAATGGGAGCCATAGGCATCAATGGGAGCCATAAGGAGCCATAGGGAGCAATGGGAGCCGTAAGGAGCCATAGGGAGCAATGGGAGCCATAGGGAGCAATGGGAGCCATAGGGAGCAATGGGAGCCATAGGCAGCAATGGGAGCCATAGGGAGCAATGGGAGCCATAGGGAGCAATGGGAGCCATAGGGAGCAATGGGAGCCATAGGAGCCAATAGGAGCCATAGGGAGCAATGGGAGCCATAGGGAGCAATGGGAGCCATAGGGAGCAATGGGAGCCATAGGCAGCAATGGGAGCCATAGGGACCCATTGGGAGCCTTAGGGAGTAATGGGAGCCATAGGGAGCACTGGGGAGCCATAGGGGTCAATGAGAGCCATATGCATCAGCGGGAGCCATAGGGCTCAATGGGACACACAGGGATCAGTGGGAGCCATAGGGAGCAATGGGAGCCATAGGGGTCAATGAGAGCCGTAGGGACCCATTGGGAGCCATAGGGAGCAATGGGAGCCGTAGGGGTCAATGAGAGCCATACGCATCAATGGGAGCCATAGGGAGCAATGGGACACACGGGGATCAAGGGGAGCCATAGGGCTCAATGGGAGCCATAGTGATCAATGGAACACACTGGGCTCAATGGGACACACCGGGATCAATGGGAGCCATAGAGCTCAATGGGACACATTGGGATCAATGGGACACACCGGGCTCAATGGGACACACTGGGCTCAATGGGAGCCATAGGGCTCAATGGGACACACCAGGCTCAATGGGTCACACTGGGATCAATGGGACGCACCGGGCTCAATGGGAGCCATAGGGCTCAATGGGTGCCATAGGGGTCAATGGGACACACTGGGCTCAATGGGATGCACCGGGCTCAATGGGACACACGGGGCTCAATGGGACACACTGGGATCAATGGGAGCCATAGGGGTCAATGGGTGCCATAGAGCTCAATGGGAACCCCAGTGCTCCATGGCCCCCACTGTCCCCATCAGCCCCTAACCCCCCCTTTTCTCTCTCCCTCCCCCCCATCCCCAGACCTCCCCCCCCCATCCAACCCCCCCCCAACCCCCCCACCTCCAGACCCCCCCCAATCCACCAGCACCACCTTGACCCCTTTGAGCCCCCCAGTTCCCCCAGTAGCAGCATCACCGGGGGGCGCCGCGTCCCCAGTACCGCTCCCAGTCCCCATACCGGTACCAGTGTCGGGGGGGGGGTCCCCGGAAGCGGCTCAGGACCCGCGGGCGCTGCACCTGGCCCAGAAGCAGGATGCGGCCGCCGTGTGCGGGGACACGGATGAGGAAGAGGAGGCCGGGAGCGGAGGGGAAGGGATTTACCGGGAACGGGATGAGTTTGTGGTGCGAGTGGAGGATGTACCAGCATTGAGGGTAATGGGATGGGGTGGGTGGGGTGGGGATGGGGATGGGATGGGGATGGGATGGGGTGGGGTGGGGTGGGGATGGGATGGGATGGGATGGGGGTGGGATGGGGTGGGATGGGATGGGCATGGGATGGGGTGTGTGGATAATGGGGTGTATGGAGTATATGGGGCATATGGGTTATGGGGATGGGAATGGGATGGATGGATAATGGGATGCACTGGGTGTATGGGGTATAGGGGATGGGTATGTGATACGGGAATGGGATGGGGTGCAGATGAATTTGGGAATGACTTGGAGTGGGACTGGGAATGGATTGGGAATGGTACTGGGATGGACTGGGAAAGGGGCTGGGAATGACTGGGAGCCAATGGGGTGTCTGTAGGGTGCTATGGGGTATCTATGGATGTCTGTAGGGTCTCTATGGGTCTCTGTGAGGTCTGTATGAGGTCTCTATGGGTCTCTATGGGTCTCTATGGGTCTCAATGGGTCCCTATGGGTCTCTATGGGTCCCCATGGGTCTCTATGGGTCTGTGCCCCCCAGCTGGCTCTGCAGACGGGCCGGGAGCCGCCCCCCATCTGGCGCGTGCAGAAGGCGCTGCTGCAGAAATTCACCCCCGAGATCAAGGACGGGCAGAGGCAGTTCTGTGCCACCAGCAACGTGAGCGGGGGGGCTGACCCATAGGGACTGACCCATAGGGACTGACCCATAGGGACTGACCCATAGGGACTGACCCATAGGGACTGACCCATAGGGACTGACCCATAGGGACTGACCCATAGGGACTGACCCATAGCCACTGACTGACCCATAGCCACTGCCCCATAGCCACTGACTGACCCATAGCCACTGACTGACCCATAGCCACTGCCCCATAGGGACTGACTGCCCCATAGCCACTGACTGCCCCATAGCCACTGCCCCATAGCCACTGCCCCATAGCCACTGCCCCATAGCCACTGCCTGCCCCATAGCCACTGCCTGCCCCATAGCCACTGACTGCCCCATAGCCACTGCCTGCCCCATAGCCACTGCCCCATAGCCACTGCCCCATAGGGACTGACTGACCCATAGCCACTGCCTGCCCCATAGCCACTGCCCCATAGCCACTGCCCCATAGCCACTGACTGCCCCATAGCCATTGCCCCATAGCCACTGACTGACCCATAGCCACTGCCCCATAGCCACTGCCCTATAGGGACTGCCCCATAGCCACTGCCCCATAGCCACTGCCCCATAGCCACTGACCCATAGCCACTGACTGACCCATAGCCACTGACTGACCCATAGCCACTGCCCCATAGCGGGGACTGGCTGCCCCATAGCCATTGCCCCATAGCCACTGACTGACCCATAGCCACTGACTGACCCATAGCCACTGCCCCATAGCCACTGCCCCATAGCGGGGACTGACTGCCCCATAGCCACTGCCCCATAGGGACTGACTGCCCCATAGCCACTGCCCCATAGGGACTGACTGCCCCATAGCCACTGCCCCATAGGGACTGACTGCCCCATAGCCACTGCCCCATAGCCACTGCCCCATAGCGTTGACTGACCCATAGCCACTGCCCCATAGCCACTGCCTGCCCCATAGCCACTGCCTGCCCCATAGCCACTGACTGACCCATAGCCACTGCCCCATAGCCACTGCCCCATAGCCACTGCCCTATAGCCATTGACTGACCCATAGCCACTGCCCCATAGCCACTGACTGACCCATAGCCACTGCCTGCCCCATAGCAGGGACTGACTGCCCCATAGCCACTGCCCCATAGCCACTGCCCCATAGGGACTGACTGCCCCATAGCCACTGACTGCCCCATAGCCACTGACTGACCCATAGCCACTGCCCCATAGCCACTGCCCCATAGCCACTGACTGCCCCATAGCCACTGCCCCATAGCCACTGCCTGCCCCATAGCCACTGCCCCATAGCGGGGACTGACTGCCCCATAGGGACTGACTGCCCCATAGCCACTGCCCCATAGCCACTGCCTGCCCCATAGCCACTGCCCCATATACTCCTAAACACAGGGACACCCCTATGGGGACACCCCTATAGCGACACCCCCATAGGGACATTACCGATAGGGGCACCCCAGTAACAGGGACACCCCGATATAGACACCCCCATAGGGAGAGCCCCATATGGACACCCCAATAATGGGGACATCCCCCCCCAATAGGGACACCCACAATAACGGGGGGGGTCAGTGTGGATGTGCCCCATAGGGGTCCATGTGGGTACCAATGGGGGGGTCAGTGTGGATGTGCCCCATAGGGGTCCATGTGGGTACCAATGGGGGGGTCCATGGGGGGGTCCATGTGGGTACCAATGGGGGGGTCTATGGGGGGGTCCATGTGG